GTCCCCCGGTGTCACCCACCTCTCCGTGCCGCCCCAGCAGCAGGGAGGTGGCCGTGTCCCCGATGTCCCCAATGTCCCCAATGTCCCCAGTGTCCCCAATGTCCCCAGTGTCCCCAGTGTCCCCAGTGTCCCCAATGTCCCCAATGTCCCCAGTGTCCCCAGTGTCCCCGATGTCCCCACTGTCCCCGATGTCCCCAGTGTCCCCACCGTCCCCGATGTCCCCAGTGTCCCTGGTGTCCCCAGTGTCCCCAATGTCCCCACTGTCCCCACTGTCCCCACTGTCCCCACTGTCCCCGGTGTCCCCACTGTCCCCAGTGTCCCCAGTGTCCCCAGTGTCCTCAGTGTCCCCAGTGTCCCCAGTGTCCTCAGTGTCCCCAGTGTCCCCGGTGTCCCCAGTGTCCCCACTGTCCCCAGTGTCCCCAATGTCCCCAGTGTCCCCGGTGTCCCCAGTGTCCCGTACCGCCTGTGTGTAGGCGCTGTAGGCTCCGAACTGGAGGGCGATGGGGCTGAACATGCCCAGCTGAGTGGCCACCTGCTGCATCCGCCGCAGCCCCCGCTCCTTCTCCGTGTCCGCAAACTTCACCACCAGGCTGGACGAGGCCCCCTGCCACACGCAGCGGTCACTCGCGGTCACTCACGGTCACAAAGGGTCACAAAGGGTCACTCACGGTCACAAAGGGTCACAGTCACTCAGGGGTCACGCAGGGTCACTCAGGGGTCACTCATGGTCACTCAGGGGTCACGCAGGGGTCACTCAGGGGTCACTCATGGTCACTCATGGTCACTCAGGGTCACTCACGGTCACTCAGGGTCACTCAGGGGTCACTCAGGGTCACTCATGGTCACTCATGGTCACTCAGGGTCACTCAGGGTCACTCGGGTCACCCAGAGCGGTGATGGAGGCGATGGTTGGGTTGTTAACACAAAGGGGACCATGAAGGAGACAGTGATGGGGACAATGAAGGGGACGGTGATGAAGATGAAGATGAAGGAGGTGACAAAGGGGACCATGAAGGGGATGGTGATGAGGATGGGGGTGACCTTGATGGTGGAGGTGACAAGGAGGAGGAAGATGATGGGGACAGTGGTGAGGATGATGGTGGAGGTGACAAGGAGGAGGATGATGGTGGGGACAGTGGAGGGGGTGATGGTGGGGATGATGAGGGTGATGGTGAGGAAGATGATGGGGACAGTGGTGGGGATGACGGTGGAGACAACGAAGGGGAGCCATGAAGGGGACAATGACGAGGATGATGAAGGGGATGATGATGAGGATGATGAGGGGGAGGATGATGAAGATGATGAAGGGGACGATGATGAGGATGATGAAGGGGACGATGATGAAGATGATGAGGACTATGATGAGGATGATGAAGGGGATGATGATGAAGGGGACGATGACGAGGATGATGAAGGGGATGACAAAGGGAACAACGAAGGGGCTGACGATGATGATGGTGAAGGTGACAGCGCAGGGGGTGATGGTGAGGACAGTGACGGGATGATGAAGGGGACAATGACGAGGACAATGAAGGGGACGATGATGAGGATGATGATGGGGACAATGATGAGGATGATGAGGGGGATGACAAAGGGAACAATGAAGGTGATGGTGAGGACAGTGACGGGACAGTGAAGGGACGGTGATGGAGGAGGTGACACCCGAGGTGACACCCGAGGACGGTCCCTCACCGGCAGCGTGCGGCTCCCGTGCAGGGCGGCGATGGCGGCCTGGGCCTCCGCGTGGCTCTGGAACTTGACGAAGGCGCAGCCTGGGGACATCGGCTCCGTGGCAGCTCCAGGGAGCTCCGGGGGTCCCGCTCCACCCCCTGCACCCCCCCGACACCCCCCAAACGCCACTGACCCCATCCCTGCCCCACAGACCTCCCAGTGCCCACCCCAGGGACCCCTGTGGGACCCCGCCCGTCTCGGGGTGTCCCCGCGGGTCCCCACCTTTGCTGGTGCCGTCGGGGCCGCGCAGCACCGTGCACTCGTCGATGGTGCCGAAGGGCTCGAACATCTTCCGCACGTCCTCGTCCGCCTGCTGCTTGCTCAGCATCCCCACAAACAGCTTCCGGTCCTCTGCGGGGACAGTGCCGCTGGCACCGGCACCAGGACACCGGCACCGGGACACCGGCACAGGGACACCGGCACAGGGACACCGGCACCAGGACACCGGCACCAGGACACTGGCACAGGGACACCGGCACAGGGACACCGGCACCGGGACACCGGCACAGGGACACCGGCACAGGGACACCGGCACAGGGACACCACCAGTGGCACTGGGACATGGCCATGGGGACAGCGCCGCTGGCAGCGACACCAGCACCGGGACACCGGCACAGGGACACTGGCACAGGGACAGCGCCGCTGGCACCGGACACCAGCACCGGGACACTGGCACAGGGACACCAGCAACGGGACACCGGCACAGGGACACCGGCACAGGGACAGCGCCGCTGGCAGCGACACCGGCACCGGGACACCGGCACTGGGACACCAGCAGTGGGACACCACCAGTGGCACAGGGACATGGCCATGGGGACAGCGCTGCTGGCACTGGACACCGGCACAGGGGCACCGCTGGTGGCACCGACACCGGCACCAGACACCGGCACAGGGACACCACCGGTGACACTGGGACATGGCCGTGGGGACACTGCCGCTGGCACCGGACACCGGCGCCAGACTCCGCCGCTGGCACCGGACACTGGCACTGGACACCGCCAGTGGCACTGGGACATGGCCATGGGGACACCGCCAGTGACACTGGGACACCAGCACCAGAACACTGCCGGTGGCACCGGGACATGGGCACGGGGACACCACCAGTGACACCAGGACACCGTCACCGGGACACGCTGAGTGGCACCAGGATACAGGCACAGGGACACCACCAGTGACACCGGGACACCGTCACCAGGACATGGTGAGTGGCACCGGGATATGGGCACAGGGACACTGCCACTGGCATCAGGACATGGGCATGGGGACACCGCGAGTGGCACCGGGACATGGACACGGGGACACCGTCACCAGGACATGGTGAGTGGCACTGGGATATGGACATGGGGACACCGCGAGTGGCACCGGGACACCAGCACTGGGACATGGTGAGTGGCACCGGGACATGGGCACAGGGACACTGCAGGTGGCACGGGGACACTGCCACGCAGAGAGGGGTGTGACACTCCAGGAGGGGATGGGGACACTGGGATGGGGTCTCATGGAACGGGGACAGGGTGACAGCTCCTGGGGACACGGAGGGACACCCCACCCTGCGGACGGGGACAGATGGGGGGTGGCCCTGGGGGGTCTTAGGTTGGGGGTGGCCTTGGGGAAATTTGGGAGCACCGGGATTTGGGGACAGGGTGGTGTGGGGTGAGCTTGGGGGGGTTTGAGGGGGAGGTGTTGGGGGTCTTTGGGGGGATTTTGGATGGA